AATTTCCTTGCTTCTGAATCATTCCCATGGCTTTGAGGCGTTTTGAAATGACTTGTTGAGTCACTCCCAATGATCGTGCCAATTCTTCTTGATTTTGACACGAGTCTTGCTCAAGTAATGCCTCCAATTCTGCATCTTCGAAAACTTTCTCTCTTCCACTGCTATGCCGATCTTCGACATCAAAATCACTGTTCTTGAAGCGTTGAAACCACTCACGACACGTTCTTTCACTAATAGCGGCCTCACCATAAGTATTTGAGAGCATTCGATGAGCCTCAGCCGCAGATTTCTTCATATTGAAGCAAAAAATTAAAACCTCCCGCAAATGACGAGAATTTGGCTCGTAAACTGACATTTTCAATCGAGAATAACTTTATGATGCAGACACAAATCGACACTAATGTTTCTATGGGGTTATGTTGACAGATGCCCAAGTTTATTGTATGACGTCTATGATCTATTTATTTCGATCATCACTTACCGCTAAAGCCATCTATAGGAAAACGGCGGAAGCAAAGTTGCATCTAATAACAAAATCAAACTTCTTTTTGTATGTTTTTCTGAGGGCCTCTTTTTCAAAATGCTCCATGAAGATGTTGGCGATTATAGGAGAAATAGGAGAGTTTGTCGTACCTGAAGTTTGTTCATAAAGCGGGATAAGTTGTGTGGCGGGGAGTGTATGGTGCTGACAATCGGTCTGAGGGGGAATGTTCGATTTGTGTATTTTTGATAGACCGTATAGTTTTGGTGGAAGAGGATTTGCAAATTTTAATGTTGATTTGGTTTTATTGAGAATGTTGCTTTTTTTCTCAACAATCAATATCCAAATATCCATTTCACTGTAAATATAAAGTAAAACTCTCCTTCCTAGATGTTCTTGATTCTAAGAAAGCTGATGGTATCTTAGGCCATCAAATACAGAAAACCAATACACACAGATCGATATCTACATACCAAGTCACACCACCACCCAGCACAAAAACAGTCTGCAACTCACTTATACATAGAGCTTTCACTATTTCTGACAAAGAACATCTACAGACAGAACTCAATCACTTAAAATTAGCCTTACGGAAGAACGGTCACAAAAAAGACATAATCAAAACAATCAATAAATATACAAACAAGACAATAGTCTCTGACACACAATCAGACGAAAGGATCCTATCCATTCTCCCATAAGGAATAACAAAAGGATAACAAATCAAATTCGTAGGATATTAAACAAATATAATATCCGAATTATCTTTAAACCATCCAAAAAGGAAATCTTAAGAAATCCTAAAAATGAAAGACCTCCATTCAGCTCCGCAGGAGTATATAAAATACCTTGTTCTTACGGACAAATATAGTGGATCGTTTGATAAGTTTGGTAAATTTCCATAATGGCACTACAATCCATTTGATGACGCGACATCTCGAAAGATCCACTCTTCGAACCTCTTCAAGCCAAATTTCAGCCAGAAAGGACGCATAGTTCACGTTTGGTAGTCATTTGAAGTAGGCTGTCTCAAAGTCTGCAAAATACTCACTGACGGCGACAATGACTTCCTCATTTGACGAGAATTTCTTCCCACCGAGCCAAGTTTGGGAACAGGAAGAAGTCACACGGGGCCAAATCTGGAGAGGGTGGATGAGGAATCAATTCATAGCCCAATTCGTAATTTTGTCATTGCAACAGTCGACTTGTGGGACGGCGCTTTGTCTTGATGGAAGAGCACTTTTTTGCGCGCCAATCTCGCTTCAATAGCTAACATTACATACTTTCCAAGAAAGTATAGAGAAGCTATAGAGGTACAAAAACACTCTAACAAATTAGATAATGGCTACAATAGAGATAATGGCTACAACATAAAATATGGAAAAATCATTTTCCTGGGTAAATTAAAAATTGACCAATTTTTCCCATTTACTCCACACACTTACATTTTCTTTCTTCCTCCCACCACTCCAACAAGTAGCGTAATATAAAAAAGGAATGGCCCGGAGGAATAGCTCAGTATCAGACTGATCCTCGCTCTGATGAAATGGACTGCAAGGTTAACGAAACTTTTGGTATTCCAAAAATGGATCTGGACACGGAAGAAAACACATAATATTTATCATATTTGTTTGATTATGTATTGTTCGGTACCCCTATCGTCTACGGCGTCTAGTTATATCATCTAATCACATCGATCAATCCACGAGATATCGATTACTAAGTAATGCATGTGTCACGCGTAATCGATCGAAAAACTATCAGATTATCATGGCCGCTCTAACTCTCTCGTCGACTGCACGCGTCTCGACTCGTGGAAAGGTATTACCGCGCTACCACTAAGATCCTTTCCGTATCCATTGTAAAACACGTTCGCCCGCGTTTGAGGTCTAGTCAATAGGTTGAGGTTTAGTCAATAAAAATTTGGAAAGCAGAGAAAATCTCATTTTTCTCGACCAAGTGCTCTCGAAGTAATAATACCGCGGGAAACGCTTGGACGGTCGCGTGGTCGCGCCATTACAAATCTAACGTGAACGCCGCAAGATCGCCAACATTTCTTTGGTCCTTCGAACTGGATTCTGTCAAGTATTGGCCTCAGTGAAGTGGCGAACAGCAATTTAGCAGTCATACAAGGGTATCTCATCGAGACGGGACAAACGTCGCAGTAGCAGCAATTAATGCAAGCGTCGCACCAGCGGCAGCACACAATTCAATAAAGCAGCCGCAAGGTCTAAGCATCAGAGACGCAGCCCGGCTCATATTAATTCTCCGTCATATCCTGACGGAGAATCAACGTTTTGCAAGCGGAATTCTATCGACGGAAAACAATCCAGATGACGTGCAACGGAAGTCCCTCAACGGCGCAATATCTGCGAGAGGAACGTTTCCATCCAACAACGTTCGACTAGAAGGCATCTAGCGTCTATCGCATCTCCTCCTAAAATTAATTGCGTGCGTAATAAGGAAGACCATTGTCTTCGTTGCCAACCAAGTTCCTTTCGCCGCGTCCATTGCGTGTACGCGTTCGCATTTGCATTCAAGATGTCGACCAATCAGAAGCGACGATACTTAAGTGACAGCGCGACCATAAAGGCATCGTGTACGCGTATCAGAACTTATGTAGAATCGCCGCCATTAGCCCGTGGCTCAACTCGAAGAGCGGAAGGCGAAACTCGAGCACTATTGGGCGGAATATAACGATGTGCAATCTAGAATCATTAGATGAGTTCGAAGGCTGCGATCAAGATACTTCGAGGAAGCGTTCTATGCGTTATCCGGTAGAATCTGCGAGCTCATTTCCCCTTCGTCGACATTGCGAATCTTTTCTCCGTCCTTTTCAAGTGTTCGCGACTCAGATAGTAGTACGCACATTCGGCTGTCTAAGTTAAATTTACCGACATTTTCCGGCAAATATGATGAATGGTTCCCGTTTTTTGATACATTCAACTCGGTTATCCATTCTAACCCCTCGCTCTCAAATACGCAAAGATTTCAATATCTATGAGCATCACCGGCGACGCAAGCGCTGTAATCAGTTCATTAGAATTGTCGAACGCTAATGATGTCGCGGTCAATTCTCAGGAAGCGATATGACAATAAGCGCATGATTGTTCAAACTCACGTCAGTACCATATTCGATTTGCCGATCATGACAAGAGAAAATGCAATCGATCTCAGAAGACTCTCTGACAGCGCCATGAAACATTTGCACGCCCTTCAGGTATTGAAGCGTCCCACGATGTATTGGGATAATCTTCTTTCCCCTTCTCTAATCTCTAAACTTGATTTACTCACGTTATGCGAGTGGCGAACCTCCTTTCGGCAACGTCGCTTAAACAGTTGTTAGATTTTATTGCTCATCAATGTGCTCGAGTCTATCACAAGGGCTAGCTTCACTTCTGCAAAGAAGATCGAGGCAAAATCGCAGCCAAATGTTAAGCGATCATCGTCATGCGCGGCTACCATTAAACCTAAATGCAACTTCTGTCAAGGAGAACACGTCATTTATGATTGCAAAAACTTCATAGCACTTCCAGTATCACAAAGGGACGCGGAAATTCGCAGTCGTAAACTTTGCATCAATTGCTTGCGCTCTTCTTTTCATGCATCAAGTAAATGCATTTCCGGTCAATGCAAGGTCTGGCAGGCAAAGCACAATACACTGCTTCATATGTCCTCAACCGCGGACCCATCAACTAACAATACCGATAAGGAAGTTGCACCTGAGGCAACTCCTCCCCCCTCCGTCCTAGCGAATTATGCCTCAGAATCATTAAATAGCGAACAAGTCATGCTTTCGACTGCGGTTGTGCTCGTCTGCGATAGTGACGGCTCGCGCAGGGCGTGTCGAGTTTTGTTCGATTGCGGATCACAAGCGAACTTCGTAACCAAGAAATTTGTGGAAGCTCTTGGTTTAGAAAGCATCCATTAAATGTCTCGATCTTCGGCGTCGGTAAATGGCACGGTAATCTCGTCCAATGTGGTTAGAATCAAATTACAATCGCGACTCAATTCGTACATCGCGGCTATCGAATGCATCGTTACTGATCAGATTACTGATAAAATTCCGGCGGTTTCTTCGGCGCGGGACAAATTTAATTTTCCGCGCAACATTCGTTTAGCTGATCCACGATTTCACATATCATCAGATATTGATCTTTTAATCGGAGCTGAGTTGTTTTGGATCTGATATGCATTGGTCAAGTCAAGTTTTCAGACAAGCATCCAATTCTTCAAAAAACGCGACTGGGCTGAATTTTGGCAGGTCGTTTGAACAACACCATATCGACTGCCTCAAAGGTTCATTCGTTTCACACGTCCGTAACCAATTACAGGAATTACAGGAACATGTCAGTCTGGCAAATGGACGACATCTCCGCGCAACCGGATAATTACACAATGGAGAAAAACATTTGCGAGCGTCACTTTTTAGACAACGTATCTCAAAATTCTCAAGGTAGTAAATCAGTCAAGCTTCCAATCAAAGAGCAAATGTTAAATAACATTGGCGATTCGCGTGAGTCTGCTCTCAAACGATTGAGGGGCATCGAGAGACGTTTCAAACGCGATCTTACGTTTAAAATTCAATACGCGGCGTTTCTCGACGAATATTTATCGCTGGAACATATGCGACGCATAGAGCCACCCATTGCGGAAGAAACAATATCGTTTTATCTTCCCCACCATTGCGTCTTCACGGTCGGGCAAGCGTCGAAAATCCATATTGTATTCGACGCATCTTGCCGTAGCAGTTCCGGCGTATCATTAAATGCGCTTCTAGTGAGACCTACCGCTCAACAAGATTTGATCTTAATTTTAATGTGCTTTTTTCAATTATGTCATCACTGCTGACATCATAAAAATGTATCGGCAGATTTTAGTGCATCCGTCCCAGCAGAGAATTCTCTCCGATGATCTCTCTGCTAATGTCGATACGTACGAACTCACTACCGTCACTTACGGTACAGCTTCTGCGTCATTTCTGGCCACCAGATGCTTTAAACATTTGGCTGAGCAATACACTCATCAATTCACTCGCGGTTCAGCATGCGTCCTTTGGGATTTTTATGTCGATGACATGGTCACCGAATACAGTCGACAAATTAAAACTAATTCGCGGTGAAGCCATTCAGTTATTAAAATTAGAAGCATTCGAGTTAAGTAAATGGGCCTCGAACTGCTTTGAACTATTGGAGATAGATAATCGAGACCGTATGCCAGTCATTATCAGAGAACGCTACGGACATGTATTCTGGGCATGCAATGGAATCAGTGCCAGGATACGTTTCAATTTCTTTGCAAACTTGATACAGGAACTCATGTTGTATCAAAATGGGTCATACTTTCCGAGGTCACTAAATTGTCCTTTCCGGTCATTGTGATCGCAAAACTCATCTTGCAAGATTTATGGCAATCCAATTGGCCATCCAATGGAACGAATCCGTTCCTCAGGACATCCACACTCTTGGATTACCTTCAGAACGCAGATGAATGATTTGAATCAACTAAGAATTCTTCGATGCGTTAAACTCAATGCCCATCAATCGTGGAAGTGCACGGATTTTGTGATGCCAGCGTTCGGAGCCTGCATATACATTCGCGCCAAGCTCGGTATTAACCATCACTCCAAGTTACTGTGCTCAAAGTTACTGTCTCGTGTCGCACCGCTTAGACCGTCTCGCTATTGTGATTAGAGCTATCGGCCGCCTTACTATTGGCGCGCTTAATCAACAAGGTTAGAAAGTCTTTGGAGTTTTCGCAATGCCTGACTTATCTATGGTCGGACTCAACGATTGCATTAAACTGGGTAACCTCCCCCTCGCGGCAGTGGTCAATTTTTGTGGCGCTTAACAGAAATCAAGCGCTGGATCATGTCGCATCCTCCGACAACCCTATATATTGTCGCGAGGGTTAAACCCCTATGACATAATCAATGCTGAGAGATGGTGGAATGGCCCCGAATTTCTAAAATGGGATGAAGAACACTGGCCGCTCAGTGTCTTCCCGCGTTTAGACAATGATCTTCCCGAACAAAGGAAAATCCACGTAACCGCTTCCATTTTCCATCCTTGCATCATTAAGGACTTGCTAAACAAGTATTCTAATTTGAACAAAATATGCCGCATCATAGCGTATTGTTGTTAAGATTATCCAAGGCTCACCGGCAGCACACAGTATCTACTTTCATGTCCCCCGTTGAAACATCTATCGCTTTAAATTGTATTTGCAGAATGGTATAATAGCGAGCGAATATCAAGCACTAGCCAAGAACGAAATTGTAAACGCTTCTAGTGATATTTTATCGCTATCTCCGTTCTTAGATGAAAGCGAACTAATGCGAGTTGGCGGGAGGTTAAAAAATTCAAATCTCGCGTTCAATGCGTGCCATCCAATTCTCCTGCCACGCAAACACATATTAACTCAGCGCATTATAGAACATGAACACACATGAAAATTACACGCGGGTTTGCAAGCCACGATGGCTTTCGTGCGCCAGCGTTTTTGGCCGATCCTATCATTACGATCCACCGTACGTGGAATAATACAAAAATGTGTAATCTGTTTTAGGGCTAAATCTAATCAATCAGAGGCCTAATTTCACGTTAATTTTATGATATTTATTCATATCATGTTTTAATAAGTTTCACATTTATGATATAATAGATCTTGAATCGGTGATGAGATTATTGATTTAATTTTCATTAATCGCTCGATGTCTGCATCTCGATGAATGTCTTCCACATAACATGAGGTAAACATGCGTTACCTCAATTATCATCAATCGCAATTTGCATATAAGATATAGATTCTATAACGATCCCATGTCCAGAAATTTATACGCTGTCGATGTCAATATATTTCCTCATCAAAATACGAGGCATGTAGCGAGATTTCGAAGATGTACTAGACGATATTTGAAAAAATGCTTTGAAAAAAAAAAAACATGTACATAGATCTTACAAAAATATATAACGTATAATACGTATAAGCAAAATATTTAATAAAATTAAACGAACTTACTGTCTCTTACGCCTCATCCTGTTGAATTGGAACGTAATAGTTCGTGACTTGAGATATTTTATTTTCTCGGAAAACTTATAATTAGTAATAGCTGTCTAAACTCTGTTGAAGCTCTCTGAACGACTGATGCAGTAACGTTGCCCGGAGCTCTTCTTTTAAATAGTGTTCCCTTCCACATTTTTTTTACACCCTAAAAGGAGGATGTGTAAAAAATCTCCTGGAGGAGATTTTTTTTTATATACATTATACTTTGAAGAATAGTTGCGATATGGTTGAAGGATACCAAATTGACACACGTCATAAAAATGCACTTTAACGATATTGAATCTCTTTTATATAAAGGATCGACGCCAACGACAATAAAATCTATCTGCTTCTATTCTCTTTTTAAAAATGAATTTTGGGAAAAGAAATCAAAACATATTTAAAAAGAAATCTTATATTTTATTTTTTAAACTTGATACATTTCTTCCAGGCATTGCGACCATCAAAATATATTAAACACATTTTGTAACGCACAATTCTTAATATGTTTTTTACAGTATTAGTAATATCCAGATTACGTAAAGAATCTATATCTTCATAATCAGCATCCAGGATCTCAATGGTCAAGTCATCGCTATTGAGCATATCAGCCAGCTATTCGCATTTTTAAAATCTTTTAACGTGTACGGGAGCCTTATTGTCATCATTCTCTTCCACATCAATTACAGCCATTGCAATCAGCCGTTTCATCATGCTGTACGAAATCATCCTATCTTCCCATTGCAATCCATGATGACAAGCATTCAGCCAAAAAGCGCAATCCTTTTCGGATTTTATCAAGAAATTCCATGGCATAGGACATGTAAAAATGTTATGAGACAATGGCTCCGTTTCCCAACACTATCACTTCCTTCAAATTTCCTTCCAACGATAAATCTTTGTACAAACAATCAAATTAGAAATGCATTAAAAAAGCGTATTTTCCTTATGTCATTGTGTTTAATGATATTTCAAAGAGTTTTTAAATCGATTCCAGAGGTGACTACATATCCCTTTATTATTGAATATCACGCTTACTGAATATAAGTAGATAAAAAATGAAGACGTATTTACAATATTATTACATTAAAGATTCTTTAAATTAATGCTTTATAAATATGTAAGCTATGATGTAATTTTTTATTATTGAATGCAAAAATGGTTATATTATGACATCTCTCAACGCGATCTGAGTTTCTTTCTTAATCCGAAGAATTTGTTATGTCTATATTTTAATATTAATAAATTTTACATAAATATATAATATTAAATATAT